TTTTTGCCTCTTGTTGATTACATTTTCTGCCGGAAAATGCTATTTGCAACTCTCCATTGGAGAGGTTTTCGATCACTTTGGAGATCTAAATCTTTATTTTACACTGCAATTGGAGATGCTCTTAAAAGGTGAAAAAAGACTCCAAATTAATGTGCTAGGATGAAGAATTTTTTTGTCTTGAAAATTAAATTATAGAAGTGAATGTAATAATGTAAGGAAGATAATCCTGGGTTGAGTTTAATTCTGTTCTTTCTTAGTCCCCTCGTTTGTTGGAGTAATTTCGTAGTTGTTAGAAGTTTGTGATGTTTTTTCTTGTCTGCAGCTCATGGAAGTTCTGTTTGACGACTCTTTCTCCGCCCTTTTCCTGTCTTTTTCTGTTTCCTATATTTTGCCTTTTGTTTTCGACTTAAATTAGTATTTGTGGAAAAGCTGAAAACTAATTAGTAAGTAAAAGAAAAATCATTGTAGATTTCTCAATATGGGTAGGTGAGATCTCCTAGCTTCCTGACCATCGACCAAACTTCCCCTGAATATGGGGAAACAAGTAGGAAAAGAAAGCGTTAGTAAGAATTATTTAGCAGCACTGGTGCATTTTATATCAGACACTTCTTTCCATCCTCTTCATTTATATTGTATAGTTCTCGTTCAGCTGTAAGTTTACTCTCCTAGGGAGTAGTACCGTCTTTTCCACTTTCGACCATTGGCTATGGTACCTTTCATCTAATACGTAGGTAGGTAGAGAGAGAGTAGCACAATTTTGGTTACTTTCCACCACTTGTTGGACGTTGAACAATGGTTATGGTGGTTACCTTTAATCTCAACATTAAATAACAACCGAATGATAGTTAGTCATACATTTTAATATGTACCTATAAGTAATTTAGCTTGTATACAAGCAAATCCACATCAATATAATATTTTTATTTTTTCCCAAGAACGTGGTTTAGTGGATAGGTTGTAGCAAACATAAAATGAGGTGAAATCAATACCAAGCCAATACTTGTTTATTCCAAATATTGTGTTCCATCTTTCAAACCTTTCTGTAGTGTCCATTACAGCATTTTGGCGGTCATAATAATTTGTTGCACTAGATTTGTAATTATTGTGGTTTTATTTACGAATAGTTGCACTCAATTTTGTCTGGATGTTCTGATGGTTGTTGTCTTGAAGATTATCTTCCAATATAATTTTATAAGTTTCACTTAATGATTGAATTCATAATGCTTAGTTGTTGGTTTTGAATTTTATTTTACTGCTCAGGTCCATCAAATTGCAAGGAACTTTCGGGATAAGTGGATTCCTAGACATATGAGAAAAAATGGCTGCAAGGAGAGGGTTGATGGGAGGATGGAATATAATCCTCATTCTAGCTACCCCAAGTTTCCCGTTTTACATGATCATGGGAGTGATAGAAAACCTTCAAAAGCAATGGAGTGTTGGGAAACGCAGTCTGTGCCTGAATCTTGTATGGGTAACACTGTTGTTCCAGATGTCTCACCCTCAGGTGATAGTTGTGGAACCAATGGCACAAAAAAGCGCAAGCGTAAAAGTAGATGGGATAATCCATTGGAGGTATGCCCGTCGCCAAGCATCAACGATGATGTTCCTCCCGAGTTTCCGTCTCCTTGTAATGGTCCTACTCTCTCATATGATGCGTCTTTGACCTCTATTGATCATCGAGAGGAATCCATGCACATGAAGGGTCCATTTGATGCAGTATTGGGTGAATCACAGCAAATATTCATTTCACATCTTTCTGTCTCCTATGGCATTCCATTTGCTATCTTAAAACAATTTGGGGCCCTTGAAGCCGAAGCTTCCAAGGATTGGGCTGTAGCTCCTGGTGTACCATTCCACCCCTTCCCCCCGTTGCCTCAGTATCCCCGTGACAAGAGGGACCCACTAGCCTCTGCTGCTAACTGTCTGTCACTGAGTCAACCTGCAGAGAAAGCAGAGTCGGGTTTCGATAATTGTACTGCTCATCACTCAGATGAAAATTATACAAGGAAATCCAGATTTGACTCGCCAGATTTGAATATGTCAGATGCAAATGACAGAGCTGATTTTCAGCGGGGAGGGAGTTCCTATAACTTGGGGAGGAATTACTTTAAGCAGCAAAAGTGGAATCACTCAAAGTTTGCGCCCCCATGGGTTCGGAATAGAAATGTTCGGTAATGTACAGGGAACAATCCTAGAAATGGCATGCGAAATGTAGGTTTAGGTAATGGGAAAATTGAGACTAGACATACCATTTATGAGCATCGACGATGATAAATTTGGCATTATTTATAGGATAATTTTCAAGGAGCTTTTAAAAATTTTTAATGCTCCTTTTGAATGTGCTGCATTCTTTGCTGTACTGATTTACTAAAAATTAAATATTCTTTTATCTGTGTAGTTTTATCCTCATGTCTAGGCTTTTGCCGAGGTTGTTCTGAGAAATGATATACTTGCTTTAGAAATCCAAGTCCGTACTTCAAAAGAGGCAAGCTTATCTCATTTTATCCTAGATACTAATATTGATTTTAACATTTATAGAATAAAATTTACTGCTGTTCCATGCTGGTTATTACTCTTTCCCTCTTCCTGTGTGTGTACCCCGTATCTCTCTGTGAAATTTGGCAGTGGTGCCAATGTTTGGCTTTTGGTTCTCTTTTTTATTTGAGTGTTGGTTGTGGGGAGGGTGATGGAATAAGATGAGATACATTGATATGGTTCCTTGTACAGCGAGGATGGAAGTTTTGGGTCCAAATTTGATTTGACATGTGTGCATACAGGGTAAGCATATTCTATCTATAGTAAGTTGTTTTCTGTCTTTTCTTTTTGTCATTTCTAATGGATTTTTGATATTTGTAATTAGATTCTTGGACAAGCCTATGCAAGGTGGTCCCTATGGAGTCATCCTGTAAAATTGGAGTCCCAAAGCGCGCTGCCTTTAATCCAGCCACAGGGATATTGAAGTAGCAGGAGGATGATGATGAGGATATACTCACTGATGAAGACGCCATGAGTCAAGATGAGAAAGAACAGCAGCTATGGCCAGGCATGTGCTCGCCCAGGGAGTCTGACGAAGTCAAATAAGTGGCCCAAAGAATCCGACCTAGATCCAGGATTCCACTTAGGGCTGATGGTAAGCATATAGAAAGACTCCAGTCACAGGCTACTGGAAATAACCCTATGACTGACCTAGCTAAAAAGCTTTTGATGTCGATTCGGGACGGAATCCGTGGGAGAAAAGGGATCTTTTGGTTTAGGACCCAAAGATGCCATTAGCAACGAGGAAATCTACTCTGTGCAATGAAGTATTGACATGGAGAAGAGGAAATTGTATATAGACTGGCTGATGGACTTGAATCCACGGAAACATTGTGCATTTGCAAGTGGTTTTGTTTCCTTGGAAATTATATTGGCAATCTTTCTTCATCATCATAATGTTCAAATTGGAATTTGCATAAGAATTTCGAATATTTCTTCGAAAATCTTATGGCATGTTTTGTAGGGAAGACTTGATAGTATTAAGCAAGGTCATTAAAATTTTATTCATTGTATTGTTCCATGCGTCTCCAGTAACGTGTACCAACACATCACTTGATGATTTTCTTTCATTTGGTATAAAAGCGTTCTTTTTTGCTGCCATTTTGCTGTTTTCATTGATGGGATGCATTTTGGTATGGATAAACTCGAAAGATAGGAGTATGACTCCCAAGGTTGAGTACATAGAAATCTTTTGCATATTCTCACAAGTGTCCCTGCGTCTTTCGAAGGTCTGGTCTTGAAGTCGTCTAGGAATGTCCAGCTGGCTTTCTATTTCTTTTGCCGAGTGCTATCCATTTTAGTTCGCTAGTCAGTGATTGGGCATTGTCAATTGCATCCTGGGCAATTCATGCGTGAATTCGTCATTGAGTATGTCTAGAAAGCTCTTTTATGAAATGTTCGAGAGATCAACGAGTAGAGATTAATGCCATTTTGTTGCACGAAATTCTTTAGTAGTGTTTACATGTAAACTTTAGTAGTGTTTTATGTGAAAATGAAAATCTTTATAATTGTTTCCTATTATAGCACCGAAAGGTGAAAAATATTGAAAAAATTTAGACAGGGATGTGAATTTTCACCTACAGAAAGGGGAAGAGTTTACAATACATTCATGTTGTCAATAATCACCCATTTGATCTAAAAAACAAGGCAAAAATAGAAATAATTTCTTATCAAACTGATGCAGACTTGACCCCAAAAGAAAAAATCAGCTACCAAAGGACTCAAAATTCAGTCTATCCTAGATGCAGAATTCCAGACATGACACACGGGTTGAGTCATTCACCCATTAAAGCAATACATGAATTGGGTTCAGGTAAGGTTTAATTGTATTTCACATTGCTTTTTTTTTTTTTCACATTGCTTTTTTGAAATGCCCGTTTTGTAATTATAAGTACTTTCGATATTCTTACCTTACAAATCGATTTTAAGGGAGAGTTCTATTCGGTAGTGATTGTTACAATTAGTATTAGAGTTGGCAGTGGCACTTCTCATCTTGGAGTTACCAAATTGTGGTTCGGCAACATGGGAAGTCTGCTTCAGTAGAAGACTTATTTTGTAGAATCGCTCGTTGAAAATGGGCCTTCATAAAGATCAATTTTGAATAGGGGTAGAATGTAATGATCCAAGTACATCTCACATTCATGAAATACATACCTTGGGAACTTATAAGCACTAAGTACGTTCCGTAACTGTGGACATTTCCCTACATAATATGTTTTCCAATGAAAAATGTGAAAAACCAAGGAATAAAAGAGTTGCATATATGAAATTCCAGAACAATATTTCAGTAAGTAATCAACAAAGGTCTCATTCCTCATAACCATAGATCAAAGCAACACGTTTATGTTCCTTCATAAAAAAAATTCGCAACTAAAAAACAGGATATATATATATGTATGTACACTTGTGTAGCTGTTTTATTCCAAGCAGATCAATCTTACCAAGACTAAAGTAAAAGCAGCTTATCAATATCGTCTCAATAATCGTCTGATTTGCACATAGCACCAAGTTTTCAGTAGTGTCCTCTGCCTTCTCCAACTGCGAAAGTATCGTCCAATCACCTTTTTATAGCTAGGTCTCTGCTGCACCATATTCCAGTACTCAGCCATGTTTGGCCGGGTATTGATGTATTTCTCTTCCAAATTCAAGAGAACCAGTCGACTCAGAATAGGAATGAACGTGATGTCTGCCAAAGAAAACTCGTCTCCAACCAGATACGTTGTTTCTCCGAGCTTACTTTCTGCTTCATCGAGAATCCTCTCGAGATGCTCTTCGCTCCGCCTCAGAACTTCCATATCCTGCATTTTATCTTCTGTTTCATATGCTTCTCTTAGCTTACGGTGATATGCACTTGCCAATTCAGGAGTCTCGGCCATTCTAGCAATTAAAACACGCCTTAAGAATTTAGAAACAGAAAGGCGATATTTCACGGGGAGGTGGAAGAGAGTAAAGAACTTGGGATTCCATTGTTGTATTTTATGCATCCATTCAACAACTTCTCTGCTGCTGAGAGTCGGGTCGTCCCTGCCAGAAGAGACCAAAGCAATCCTTTCTATGTACCTGTACGTCTTTTACATTGTTATAATCGGTAGAAAATATTCCTATCAGCAATTTAAAGAACTAAATTTTCTTTAATCCCCTGCCCCTTCAAACCCCTGAATTAAGGAAAACATGTTGATGAATAAATTTAAATAAATAAATGAGGTCCTTTCTACTAACTTAAGCTTTTAAACGATGAGGTTCAACATGATACCAAAGCAGAAAAAAGATCATAGGTTCAAGTCTCATTGCCATCTACTCATGAAAAATAATGAGCTAGTGTTAGGCTTAGGAGAGGGGTGGGGGGGGGGGGGGGGGGGGCCCACCCCCTTCCCCCCCCCCCCCCCCCCTTTTAATTTTCAGTTAAAATACAAATTTTAAAGTTTAAAATCCAAAATAAATAATGCTCAAACTAATTATATTAATATCCAAAGCAAGCACTCGAAACAAAAAATATCCAAAACAAACAATGTCCAAAACAATTATTTTTTTTTATTCTTCACGGGGCCCCGTCCCGTCCCGCCCCGCGACCAGAGACGGGGCGGCAAACCTACCTCGGGGCAGGGTTTTTTGCCATCTCTACACAAAGGACTACAATTGCGTTGCAAAAGATTGAAATGAGTGTCATTGCCAAATATGACATAATCGGTGGTTTTTTTTTTTTTTTTGCAGCGAGTCCATAAGTTGGGAACCATTTGTGCAAACAAGCATTTTTACATTGTTGTAATTATTTATTTATTTATTTTTGTATTTTTTTTGGTAGATGCTTATTATAAGTATAATCGTAGTCAAACGTGCATGACAAGATCTTTTTATATTTTTTTACGAGGGTCGAATATTTTATTTTGAGTGTTGGGTCTATATAATAAAGATAGTTATATTACATACATAAAGTGTTGATGAAAAATACATTATTTATTGGATAAGAAATTCAATGATTTTTAGTCAGATAACTGATAAGGAGTAATTGATTTGACTAAAATCTTAGATGTTGCCATAGAAATTCCTCTTGAAATTTAGGTCGGAATAATATGTAAAAAATAAAAATAAAATTACGGACAATTTTTTTCTTTTATATATATATATAATGCATAATTGTTTTAAAAAAAAATTATGTATAGATATCCTTAAATCATTGGCATCTATTAGTTAAAAAAATGCTTTGAAAAAATGAATGTGAAAACAAGAGTTGCTTAATTCCTCATTTGATAAAATTATTAGTGAATCTTGTCAGTTCGAAAATTAGTCACCATTTCCGATTTTGTTTTTAAAAATAATAATCTCTAACTCAATGTTATTTTATCGTATAATCCAGGGGCGGACCTGGGGGATGACCTGGGGGGCAGGTGCCCCCCTTGATTTTGAATTTTTTTTTAATTAATATATAAGGGGAAAAAAATTGGGGAAAAAGAATAAAATCCCTAATTCTCTCCACCTCTCGAGTCTCCACTCTTCTCCCGTCTCCAGCCCAGCTCCACTCCTCTCCCGCAGCCCAACTTCGGTCTCCAGCTGGCAGCCCAACACCTATCTCTAGCTGGCAGCCCAACTCCTCTCTTCCACCCGGACCACTCCTCTCCATTTCGAATCTTTCGTTCTCTGCCCCGATTGCCCAAGCAGTGAAGCTGTCGCTACAGCCCGCAGCCCAAGGCCCCAACTCCAGCCAACCAGTCTCCAAGCTCCAAGGACACTGTCACTCTGGACTGAAGTAATTTATTGGATTGATTAAGCATTTTGTGATTGAAATTTTTTGGCTTTTCCATGATTTTTTTGATTGATTAAGCATTTTGATTTAATTGGGGTTATATTATTAATTGAATGAATATGATTGCGAAGTGTTAACTGCATTTAGGGAATAGGGATAAGGGATTGATAGTCAGCTACTGCCTACTGATCAAGGGATTTACTGATTTAGGGATTTACTGATTTAGGAAGATTGTAAGTTTCTCTGTTTCTGTGTCTTTGAATTAGGATTTAGGAAGATTTTAAGTTTGTAAGTTTCTGCGTCTTTGAATTATTAAGATTTAGGAAGATTGTAAGTTTGTAAGGGGGGGGGGGTGGGGGGAGCCAACCTACCCGTTAGGGGGGGTGTTCAAGAAATTTTAAATAAATTTGTCCACTTTCTAATAGCTTAAGCTTTTGATGATTTGGTTCGAGAAAACACGATAATGGTCAATATAAATTCACGAGTAAATGTTACAAACAAAGCATGAGCCTTCTTTCGTTTGGTCTAACAATAACCATGGTATTGACCACTGCACTTCACATATAATCCTAAAGAAAGCAGCATGGAAATTAATCTAAAAAATTTGAATAGCCAAGTATGCAAACAGAGTTTAAAATCCCCCTGAACACTTTTAGACGGGTAAGAGAAAAGTGACGAAACATGTACAGTGAAGATAAGCGAGAATGAAATAAAGAATAAAGATAAGACGTACTGAATGATCTCTATAGTGTCATATAAGATGTGGGAGCCATTCTGAAAAACGGGAAGTTTTGCACTTGGATTCATCCGGAAGAAACTGGAATCGAAATTCTTGCCAGTGATAGGATTAACATGAAATGATGTGTAATCGATGTTCTTTTCTTCCAATGCTAGCCGCACCTTCTGGCTGTCCAAGGAATACGGATGATGATATAGCTGCATGATGTTATCTGCATCAACTTTTGAGGTGTTCACTCCAGTATACAGCACTCAGACGAGTGATACGTGAAATCTTCACTTATGGGGGAAAATCCTGCATTCATCGATCAGAAATCACTCATGATCAAATTATTTAATCAAGCTACATATTCTCAAACTCAATAACAAATAAGTTAGAGCATTTTAAGCTTAGCCATACATCCTCTAATCTGATAGTTGATAAGTAAACACGGTTAAAAGTGAGCCAGAACACTGACAATATAAACAGATGAAAACAAAATGAAACAACTGATAGGTGCAGAATAGAAAACAAGAAGGCGTGCATTCCCACATTACTGCTACTAAGTTTTCAGAGCCATATGAACCACAGACATATAACTTTGCACAAGTCATCATCAGTTGGATTTCATCTCGACCCTACATGTAGAAGACATTAATTTTTATTTTATGCAATCTTCAAGGGTTCGTTTCATAATCCTTGCTAAATTCATGAAGTCTCCAAAATCCCGGACCTTACTTTTTTTTTTCCACGCATTTTTGGCACATGTTATGGTCTTCAGGGATAAGCTCAAGCAGGACATAAGACCATAGCAAAAACCATGCCATCTACAAAATCTTGGCCACTTATTTCGTTTTTCCACATATTACTTATGGATCATGGTCTTCAGTGTTAAGCTCAAGCAAGATTCAAGACCAGAAAAAAATTCATATTGATCAACAAAACAGTCAGTTGCACAGCTTGTGTTGATCAATATCCAAAAGACAATCCAATTCCAAATGCACAAAGTAATCATTTCAAAATAAGTGCACTATGGCTACTTTCGATCGGCTTATCAAAATTCAAGAATTGAGCAAAATTCATGTTGATCACAAAATAGTCAGTTGCGATTCAGCTTTTGATGATCAATCTATCAAAAAGTCAATCCACTTCCAAAAGCACAAGATAATCATTTCAAAATACGTGTATTGTAGCTAATTTCGATTTATTTCAACAGAACATGAATCGTTGTTATTTTACTCATGTGTTATGAACCAAAGCATGTTTTGGACAACCATATTGTCACAACATTATATGTATGGGTATTACATGTTGAGCCATAGGGGACGAGAATGCTTTTTATGACTAGTTTGAGGCCCATAGAATTAATGCTTTGGTCAACCACTCGACCAAATAACTTCTAATTTCATCGAACGCTTTCTAGTGAACTTCCTCATACACGAACACTTTTGAGTCCTTTCACAGTAGGGAGACCATGGTTGAAGTTTTCCTGCGAGTCTTCCATTCGCTGGGAATGCTCAATTTCCCGCTAGGGGAGGGGTTATATGCTAAGACATCTCTATATATCTCAATATGAGCCCATTTCGTGGGGGTGGAGCCAGTCCAGCCCATTTCATTTTTTATGTGTAATATATATATATATATATTATCTGTAGGACACGTTGTTAGTTGGTTGCAGGTGTTCTATTACAGTGCATAGTCAGAAAATGAGAGGGAAAAAAGGGAGAGTTCATCACCGGTTGGCAAAACATCTAGCATTTTTCTACAGTACGCTCTTAACAGATGGGTGATACGACTCTTGTCGTCAACATTGAAGGTAAATGTGCTTCATTACTTGATTCGGTTTTTTATTATTTTGTTATGAATTTGAAAATATACAAAAATGTGAGAAGAGACTCAGTTTTCCACTGATTAATATTGGTTGTGATAAATAACCAATTGATAGGTTATTTTATCACAAAAAACATGAGTATCAAATGTAAAAACAAATTTCTTAATCATATTCTCATCTATTTCAGATTTATGACTTCCCAAAAAACAATACAAAACCCATCATGTATGAAGCATGTTTACAAATTTAAACGGCATATATAATTGTTTCTAATGTTTGATGATAAACATTGCGCCCCATTATGTCGTTCACTTAGAAAATGGTAGAATGTTGCCAAGTGGGTGATGAACTTTTCTTTTTATCCACTCTTATGCCAAACCCCTTATCCCAACATAATGTACCTACCTACAGCTTACTGGCCGAATCACACAAGGGCTTGTGTTGAGCTATAATTAACTGTCAAAGAGGGTTTCTTCAATCTAATGGGATAATCAAAGCATTACAAGAAAATCAGTCCATGGGCATTAAGCAAGTTGTTCACAAACATTAGTCCATCCTATTATGGCTCAATACATTATATTGTCCTCACAAAATATGCTCTAATTGTAATGTTAGTCCAAATAAATATCAAGAATAGGAGTAAAATACCAAAACATGCTCATACTTAGTACTTTCTAGTTCACAACGTTGAGCAATTAAAGCACAATTCACACCATATTATAGCTGAACACTTAAAACAAACACAAAAACAACCAAATACACAATCAAACTTTCAGTATCAAATCTTCAAGTTACAGCATAATCCACAACATAAATAATCCCGTACTTCAAACAAATAATCAAAAAATTGTACACATATTATGGAATCCTGAAACAACCATGAAAATCACTTTCTTAAACATCATACACATGTAAAAAAAAATAATAATAAAAAATAAAAAATCTTAAACAGAAAAGTAGAAGATATGTTCATGACACTTACCAAGAAATTCTGCAGAGAGCCAGAGAGTTCTTGAAAAGTGTTTGAAAGAATTTGATGGGTTTATGGAGATTCGAAGTGCACGTGAAAATAGAGCCAAGAAACGATTCTTTTTAAGTGGAAGCTGATGCAAAAGCTTAAAGTCTTCTTGCAATAGGGGGTGGGGGTACCAAAAGTTTTAGGAACAACAATTAGAAAACGCAGGTGGGATGGAAAACAGTTGGAACAGAAGCCCTCGCTTATAGTAATCTTGTATATTGTCAACTAGTCTTTGCCAACCCCACCGGCCAATCACACATAAATATTATGTTATTGCTTAAAATATAGTTTTGAAACAACTTTTGTAGTTAAAAGAATTATGTGATTTTCTATGGTTGTTAAATATTTAATTATTTCAAATTATTTGGATCAAATAATGAATTGAACATGGTGACCAAAGATTGCTCAGGTAAGTTATTGCTTAGAACATGTTTAGTTAAACAGAAAATAAGTAATTTTTTATATCCAAATTTTGATTTTTTGCCTTTTAACAGGGATGGTAAATTTTTTTGGAGAAACTCTAGCTCTATGGCAAAAGAAGTAACTTAGGCCATGTTTGATAACCAAGATTTTCCTTGGAAGTTGGAAAATTTTTTCAATTTTCCACATTTTGCACAGTTTGATAGCAAAAATTTTACTCGAAAAATGTTTTCCACCCCCACCCTTCACGCGCCCATTTTCCCACTTTTCAAGGAATTAGTTTTCTTGTTGTTTTGGTGGTTTTTGTGTCAGTTTTTTTTTTTTTGGCAATTGGAAAAAATTATATCAACAATGGTAAAAAAAATTTCCCTTTAATGAACAATTTCCATGTAAAACAAAGCCAAATCAATGGTATTCGGTATGGTAATTTTTTTTTTTTTTTGGCAATTGGAACAAATTCCAGACTCAATGATAGAAAAACTATCAATTTAATGGACAATTTCCATAAAAATAAAGTCAAACGGACACCAAACTTTCAATATTTTCCAAGTGAAAAATTACACCAGTCAAACACAATTAATTACAACTCGTAGTAAAATAATTTTTAGGTAATTCAATTCCCTATAATTCATTTTCTTTCCACCAATTTTCCACATTTGCAATCAAACGGACCTTTAGTATAACTTCTAGTCTTTCACTGATAAGAAGAAAACTTAAATTTACTCTTCCACTTATAAGTGAATTTATTTAAAACTAAATAGCAGAAAAACATTTTCATCTGCGATATGGGACCTATTAGAAATCGCAGAAAACACTCATGTTTGAAACTTTTTGTGCGAAATACCTCATTCCGTCAAGATCCGTCATATTTGTCCTTAAAATAGTAAAAAAAACGTCAAAATGAAAATGAAATAATTGCAGTTACAGTATCCAAACTTTTATTTTTTTTTATAAATTATATCTAAATTTTTTATATGTGCCATATATAACCTCAAATCTTTAGAACTTTATTTTCTTCTCCAACCCAACTCATCCCGTCCCACCCTGCCCCACTTCATCTTCATCCCCACAACCGCTCAAAAATTAAATGAAAATAAAATGCAAAGTGGCTTAAATCAGAAAGAATAAAAAAAGCATAATGACACCAAATGTCAATCCAAAATAATTCAGCTATAGTGTCTATGTTTGACAGAAGTTCTCTACTTTGAAGTCTGATGCAATTGTGGACTCAAGATGCAGAAAGAACGATTATAGAAGACGCAAAGGAATACCAAGGATGACAACATTTCATTTTCTCTCCTTCAAACCCCCACCCTACACCATCCCCAGATTCATGGCTCTTATCCCCAATAAATGCACAAAATATCCAGCTGTATTTTCATCCCCATTTTCAAGCAAATTCAATTTACACAAAAATTAGATAAGTTACAAAATCAGTTTGCTGATTATGCCCTTGTTTGATCCCCATTTTTTTTCTCTCTTCTTTTTAACCTCACATTTTTCAATAAAATAATATTACATGCAACCCAAAAACTTTTCTTTCATTTTTAAATGCACATTCTCCGTTAATCTGCTACTTTAAAACACATTATACATAATAATGGGGCTTAAACACGCCATATGTACCAAAAGATACTATTTGATATAAATAAAGAAGAAGATAAGAAAAACAGTACACACATTAATAGAAACTCGAAGGCTGGTCCATTTTAGCTATCGCATAGACGACACTAGACATGGTGCCTTTTGCACCGGCGAGGTATCATGATTGAGCTTAAATGATTTTCAAGATTGACAGGTGCAAATGCTATTAGTCTACGTATGGCGGTGAGGCAGCCGAATAGGTAGGGTACTGTAGAGTGCCACGACGAGTGTGGAGACAGGAGTGGACCCAGAAATTTTTTTTCATTATGGGCAATATTAGTAAAGGTAAAAAAATTAAAATAACAACAGCA